GTGGTGATGTGCTGCAGGGCAGCTTCCTCCAGCAGATGTTGGAGCAGCTGCCCCTGCCAGGACAGAGGCTTCGACACGGACACAGCTTTGGGTGGCGGATGCAGCCGTCCGTGTCCCAGGCTGCACAGGTTCTGTGGGTGAAGACCCTTCTGCAGCCTCCTTGTTCCAGGGAGCACCAGCACTTCCAGGAGGCTCCCAGTCCATCAGTTAAAATGTTGGTGAGATGGAAGCTGCAAGGCCTCCTTTCTTGTCACTGGGCTTTTGCTGACTCTCAAGAACGTGGGCTGAATGTCACACCAAAGCCCTCAGTAGAGTTCCACGGTATTTCCATTGAACTAAAATGTCCTGTAGTTTTTAATCTGATCAAATGGAGTAAAAAGTTGCAGTCTTCTGTTGGCTGAAGCCAATGAAAATCACAATTTTCATGGTCCCCAAACAGCTTCACCATCCCTGCAGAACTTCTGTGTACTGACTGGGCACCTGAGAAAGCAGATGCTTTTTTAGACTTATCTCCTTACCATAAAGGTGGTTCTGGACATCTCTGCAGATCAGATCTGGATGACTTGGGAAGATAGCACTGCCATGTTTGTGCTAAGGACAGGAGATACCAATTTAGCATCTTTGGAAAAGCTTTAACTTTCCCTAGAAAACACAGATAAGGGAGGAGAAAAGGCCAAGCAAGGTATTGATGAAAACAGTGTTAAGAAAAGCAGTACTTACTGGTTGGAAGATAAAATATATGATCAGGCTTTCAAGAATGAGCACTTAATTTGCCTAAAGACTATTACCAAAGTCATTCTTAATGTACCTGATTTGCATAAAATCTTTTTTTCCAACTACCTGTTGCAGCACACACCTAAAATGGGGAAGCACAGTCCTTCATCAAAGCTCAACTTGCCAAGCCAACACTACAGATGTGCTGCCTATTTGTAACGTGGTTTTCCAGTCTCAGATGTCCTTAGGCACGTATATACCACGTGGGGGATAGTACGTATTTTAATAATACCTTTTAAAGAGTCATTAATGAGCAGAGTTTCTCTCAGGAAGCGGTGGTTCTAGGAATCAATCCACCTGCAGCAGTCAGGGTGGCTTTTTTTTTGCAGCGTGTGCTAATTCAGCTTCACTCAGAGGTTGCTCCTTTGGAGTCAGTCTCCAGAGTGTTGTCTGGATCGAATTCTCCATGTGAGAACCTTCCCGCAAATTCCACCTGGGTTGAGTTGGTTTCTCCCTGTTTTCGTGCATCGTTACCAGCAGCTGAAGGTTTGGCAAGCCAAATTTCTTCCCCGCTTGTAGGTGATGGGACCTGGGGAAGCAGCGCTGTGCGGAGGACACGAAACGGGGAGGAAATGGCAGCTTGCTGCTCTGCAGCGACCAGCACCTGCCAGCAGACCCAGTAAGATCTGTCAAAGGCCCCTTCCCCGCTGCGGGGACAGACAGTGATGGGGCACGAGGGACGTGAGCAGGGCGATGCTGTGGCCACGTAACAGGGGGTTCGTTAGCATAGTTTTACTACTATTATAATACTATGCTAGTCATTATACTCTTAATTATAAATTTTCTCTTTCTTAAAGACTTGAAATGGTGCAGAATAACACCTTCTGGAAAGCTGTTACAGCAGCTACTCATCCTCACCATTTAAACCTCTTTGTTATTCAAACCTCCTTATTCCTTAGTCTTCTCTCAAGTAAGCCCCTGAAGATATTTTGACAAACAAGGTGAGAAATGTTGTGCTGTCCTCCAGCATACCAGTAAGTAAAAGGGATCAGTCCCAGAGGAACCAGTTGGGCATCTTTGATCAGCATGGTGTGATCTTTAACAAACAGGTCCAGAAAGCATCAGTGTTAAGCCTCAGATTCTCATTGACCCAAGCTTATTCAGTAAAAGAGATCAGTCCCAGAGGTACCAGTTGGGCATCTTTGATCAGCATGGCATGATCTTTAACAAACAGGTCCAGGAAGCATCAGTGTTATTTTCTCTCTAAGCCTCAGATTCTCATTGACCCAAGCTTATTCCGAAATCAGGTGGCAAAAATGTTAGAGGGCATGAAATTTCTGGCCTCCTGCAGCTTTCCCAGCCCAGATGGATCCAACTCCAAGCGTATTTGACCCCTGCTCACCTTCACTAGGCTTCAGTCCAGGTGCCAGTCTGATTCAAATTTAATATTTATAGCTCCAGAGTTTTAATTGGCACTGTTTGACAGAAGGTATCTTTGCCTACAAAATTTCATGTCTTTTAAATTACGGGGTTTGGAGGGGCTGAAATGTAGGAAGGGGAAATTTTGTTTTGGTTGTAGTTTGAGTAAGGCATCTGAAACAGCTTTTTAGAGAGGCAGTTTCACTTGAACATTTTAAACCAAAACTCATACTCTGGATTTGTAAAACTGCACTGTTTGCAGGTGGCATCGACATCTCAGCCAACGATTTCATCTTTGAGATCAGCATCTCAGCGACAAACTGAGACTAAAGCTACACATCTCTGATTTTCTCCTTGCACTTTTAATTGCACTGGACTTTTGACGGGATTTTGTACATAAACTCTTTAGTGATACAGCTCGTTACCCTCTTTTTTGCCTCCCTTACCTTAGAAAAGTGCAGAAGTGAGAATTTAGGAAAATGATGACCTATTTTATTGTATAAACACAGGGGTTAGGAGGAGGGAATGGAGAACAGGACTCTAGATTAAGAGTTGATTGCTGAAATTATTTTAACTACCTTTTAATTGGCGAGCTGTTGAGTTGTTATCATCAATGAAGAGCACATCAACAAGCAGCATCTAAAGCTGCAAACATTTCAGTGGAGAAGCAGAGCTCACAAGCTCTGTAACCATCATCCATATAGTGAAGAGTTAAGACTAAGTGACTGGATCCCAAGAATACATCATACAGGAAATATCAAAGGTGGGGTTTGGAGTTAAAAGTCTTTGTTGTCTTCTGTTTTTTCTCTGAAGAGGTTATGAAGGCGGATTAGGAGACGTTTGCACAGCCCCCCAGCTACCCTGCTCTGGGGGCCGTGCACAGGGAGGTTCTGATCTCTGTCTGAGGACCTTTTTCATGCAGATGCAAGAGGTACGGGTGAACCTCCAGGGCTTGCTTTGCTGTCAGTCCCTTTTAATGGCCTCCCGAGGTCCTGCAGGCTTTGTCGGTCTCTTGTCTAATAGTGGGCACCTCCATCGCAGACCACACGTAAAACATCTTTGCATTCTCTCAGTGCTGATTTATAGTGTTTGAAGGGATGGGGTGGAAGAAGTTGTTAAAAGATGAAGAAACTGAAAGCTCCCCTAACTGCTGTATTAGCCACCTGACATTCTCCAAATGCTAGTCATTAATTACTAATGCCTTGAAAATCAGAGCAGTTACCCGATTCAGATTATGTTACATCTCTGAGCCAGAGCATTTCCATTATCTTATCGTTTCCCATTCAAACAATTCTTCCTTCACAGTTGTTCAAGGCTCAGACCCAGCTCTGGTTCCTCTCGTTTGGACCTGTTACCCGCGCAAGGGTATTTTTACTCCATGCCTGTCCTGCCTTCACATTGGTGAAAATCAGCGTGGGTTTACAGTGTAATTATTACTAATTTGGCCATCCAGCTCCCCCTAGAGCTACATGTGGACATCTGATGGCAGAACATGGCCGACATAAGCCATAACCTTCTTTTCCAGTTGGTGAGCAAGAGTTGGGGAAGGATTGAGCCTGGTTTATGGCTTAGACTGCCCTTGCAATCCTTGCTCCTGCAGACCTCCCTGTGGACCGAGCAGGAGAGTTCACAGTCACAGTCACACCAAGCCCCGGGGCCAAGCTCTCAACCAGTGATTCCCTTTATACACCAGTGATAACTTGGCCCCATGGTGGCAAGGCAGGGTATGTTTCTGCAGTCGCCAATGACACTGGTCTCAGGTGAGCTGTGCATTCAGAAATGATGGGATTTATTTCCTGGCACGTTCGTGCTTTGCTTATGTATATTTTCATGCCTGCCAGCACTCTGAAATCTAGACATCGAGTGTTGGGGGCAGGCTAGATGCAATTTTTCGTGCTTCTGACATTAATTGGATGAACAGACCTTCTCAGAAGGGGCAGTGTAGGAAACATGTATGGAAAAATGACAAAATAAGGACTTTCAAAGCTAAATAAAGACAAGTGGCTGAAAATGGTTTTTACAGCTTTGGCTTTCATATGTTTCATTGGGGAATCTAAAACCCATTTTGCACAACAACTAACAAATTAAGATTCACAACACCTTTCCGAAGAAGATAATTGCTCCTGTCTTACAGATGGAGGAACGGAGGTATTGAGGCTATCGTTTGAAAATCTGTCCCCTGTTTTCAACTCCTCATGTTGAGATACATTTAAACCTAATTCTCAGAAGCATTAAATACCTCCATTTATATTCATTCATCTGCCGTTGTTTGTGCCTAGAGTCTCTGAAAAGCAGATGCATTGCCTCCTAACTCGAATGGTCAAAATAACTTTGTGATGTGGCAAAGATCACAGAGCAATGGCGAGGCCAAACTGAGGCTGAGACCCATGTTCCCTCATGCCACATCCTGTTTTTACTCACTGAGTATCTGCCTTGCATTCCTGGCCGAAAGGAAAAGCACATTCTGCTCACTCAGAGGCAGTGGAACAGGTTGCCCAGAGAAGTTGTGTCTGCCCCATCCCTGGAAGTGTTCAAGGCCAGGTTGGATGAGGCTTTGGGCAACCTGGTGTAGTGGAGGGTGTCCCTGCCCATGGCAGGGGGGTTGGAACTGGATGATCTTTGAGGTCCCTTCCAGCCCACACCATTCTGTGTTTCTATGACTCAGTTTTCCTCTGCTCTCTTGAACAATCGGATGTTACTGTGATGATATTGGTTGACTTCATAGAGTCATTTTACCTTGTCTTTCTAGACCATCCAGAACTTGTCTTCAGGTTTTTGTGATTAAGTTTCTTATTGTAGCACTAACATGGAAATGCAGGATCATTTGTATCACCTGGTTTTCCCCTGTTGTTTTGTTTTTTTTTCAGCATACCACGGTTTTGCCCTTTGTATTAATCGAAATGAGAACAACGCATCATCAGTATCCCAGCAGGAGCTGTGGACTGGCTGCAGTGTGCACCTTCGCTGTTGGCTATATTTTATGGTAAGGGCTGTACACGCTGAGTTTTGATATTGTATTGGGGGTTTTGTACTGCTAAATTTGGGCACATATTTCATTATGGATATAATCACTAACAGATTCACGCTGCATGCCTCGTTTGGTCCAAGACCTGGGCTTTGTCTGGTTTCCCCAGTTGCTTGTATTTTTAGAAAGTATATGCCAAACCTCACACAACAGGAATTTGTTAACAATCCCATGTAAGCAGTGGTCTTTCCAAGGGTACATTTTTCAACCTTTTTTCAAGCTAAATGTTTTTCTTGGACCTTAGTTTTATTGCTTAGGGTTTTTGTTCTATCAAATAAAATTGAGAATAGGCAAGTGATTTCCTGCATCAGTATTTAAGTGGCAACAGAAAAGATAGAATGTTTTTTTCTTTACTAGTTCATAAGTTCTTTCTGTAAAATTGATTACAGAATAAGACAGTAATCCAAACACTCTGAAGTTTTTGTTTTAAAAATTGCAAATGTTTGTGAGAAATTAAACTAAAACAGGAATAACCTTTCTTACACAACATTAAATTAAGTCTTTGGGCAGTTTCTATTAAAGCACCTGACTTGCATGACAGAGCTAATTTACTTTGGTCATTCTAGCACTAAACCTTTTGTTTTCTTTACAATGCTCCTTTGACACCATATATCCTTTATCCTCTCTGCAAACATTTCATGACCCCTTGTTTACTTCTCATATTCTCTCTTCTCGCCTCACAACACCCTTCTCTCAGCTAAGAGGATATTTTCCAAAACTGGGAATAGTACTGCTTTTTCCACCAGTCTAGTGAGATGGAACTTAGGAGAAAGGAATACGGGCTCAAGGCAGTACTGTCATACTGCTCCAACTGTGCAACTTGCCCCTTTGGTCCAAGGAAAGAGAGGCCGTTATTCATACACATCCGTGCACACTGAGTGATCATAAAATGTTAGCAATCCAGCTGAAGTGGGATATTGTGTCCCAGGACAACAGTCCCATTCTGCCATTTGCTTTTATAAACAAACATACCCTTCTTAAAAGAAGAATAATATTTGTAATTGTGAGATAAGAACAGCCTCGTGCAAAAAGGCATGTAATGATTCCTTCAGGAGAAAGAATTATTTTTTTTAACTCATATGTAATAGTGCATAACTGTGGTATTTCTCGACCTTACTCTGAAGGATGCCTAGAGACGGGTTGGCAGAGTTACTGTACCTCTGATCTGACCTCCTATGGCAACTCCTGCTTTCCCAAAATCATCTGAGTAGACGCCTGCAATAGGATTCAGTAAGAACAGAAAATTGAAACAATCCAGTTCTGCAAGTGAAATAAAACCAGAGGTGTCTTAAAACCTTTTAAGAAGTTGTTATAGTATCAGTGAGATGCTCACATGGCTTGATCCAGCCTACTACAGTGCATCTACATCCTACAGCTCTAAGTACAAGGGAAAAGGAAATTGCAGGACAAGTAAAACAGGGGAAGAAGATTCTGCATTAAGAAATTAACCAGTAAGCAGATACCCAGCTACAGCCTGTGATCAGCTCCCTTTGCTTTTGCTTTTATTGGCTTTGCCCAGGTGTACATTATTTCCGAAACAGAGAGGGCTACTCTCCAGTGACTCAGCTGCTTCAAAGTTGGGATTTCTCTAAAGTTGGTCTGAGGCAATTGCTTATTCAGCCTGAAGGTCATGCTCCTAAATTCGGCATGTACGGCCCATTTCTTCTACTCTTATTAAAGAAAGTCTTTGAAGAAGACTGGGAAGGAGACACAGGCTACATTGTGCTGTCATCTGCAAGTTCTGCATCTCTTCAGCCTACAAGGGTTGTCAAAGCCTCTAGTCCAAGACTTGGTTGAGGCTGCAAGCTCAATCACATCAATACAATCTATCTGACATTCACAGGTTGGGAAAATCTACCAGAAGGTATGAAAAGTGGGGTTTTTTTCATCCATCTCACTCAGAGCATGCCTGCCTTTCACAGCTGAGGTCCACTGTCTCCCTGCTGCTAAGTGACTACATTGAAGTAGAGACCTTAAGCGCTTAGAGGATTTGGAACTACTTAGTTCAGATTGAGTGCCCTTGTTGGTGTACCCTTTAGACCTCTCAAGGTTAGGACAGTGCATTAAAATGAGACTACACCTGCAAATGACCTAGTTACACACAGCCTGGTGGAACTTCCTTCCCTTGTACCTTTGATTGTCCATGGGTTCCCTGATGAGGCTTAGTTCTTGGTTTATATTTTTTTACCAAGAAGTTAGGGATCTGCTGCTTGAGAATTTGTCCTTCTCCCTACATCATTTTTAGAATCATAGAGTGGTTTGGGTTGGAAGGGACCTCAAAGATCGTCCAGTTCCAACCCCCCTGCCATGGGCAGGGACACCCTCCACTACACCAGGTTGCCCAAAGCCTCATCCAACCTGGCCTTGAACATTTTTCCCTCAGTGGAAGTGTTTTCACTGCAACTCTCAGTATAAAATGGAGACAGTTGCTAATCAGATGTTCACTGTGTTTTGCCCTTGAATTTTGAACTCTCTCCCCACCTCACCTGAAGCCTTTTTACCATGCTACATGATGTATCTATCATGTCACGCTTTGTACTCTAAAGGAGCATACAGGAGAATATTGTTTAGGTTTCATTCTGTTAATGTGTTTTTTTCAACTCCACGTAGAGGAGGGCTGTTTTATTTCAGATATGGCTGAATCTTTCACATATGGAAAAGATGGTGGAGTAGCAAGCTCTTATTTTATATATATTTGATAAATGAGAAAACAGGCAAAGAGTTCTGAATAGAATCACTGAAGTTGGACGAACGTAGCTAAATAACTTGATATCCCTGGACATGATTCAGAGACATGTTATCTGAGAAACATCCTTTCTTGAAAAATAAAACCTTTTCCTATTTTTCGTTCGTTTTTTTTGCATTCTCTCGCTTCAGTCAGAGAGCATTTAAGTAGGCACAGTTGGCTAAAGTGCTCTCTGTGAGGTGGAGCTCTCCCTAGCTCCTGAGGAGCTGTGCCCAGGCAGAACGTTCACAGATTTGCATTGCCTGTCGCAGACCATACATGGACGTTGAGGATCAAGGCCATGGAATAAGACAGGAAAGGCCGATTGGCTTTATTTAGCATGGCTTGAAAAGGTCGCAATTTGTATTGAATTGTTATATCTAGAAAGTGCTAAGAAAACCCAAGAGCTTGCCAGAACTACCAGAAAATACTGCCAATGGGTGTATGGAGTTGGTTGTCAAGAAACAGAAAAGAGCCAGAAATGTGTTGCTTCTTGTAATAAGAATGACCTCATGGTAACTAATATCAGAGCCTAATATGTCCCTAAAATAAACTGAGACAAATACGTTTATGTAAAATGGTTTTCTTGTTCCCTCTGCTTTTGAGTTCTTGAGGATGCCAAGAAAACAGACCCTAAGAACCTGACTCCACTGCTCTAGTCATGCTGGGCTACGTGTTTGGGAGCAAAAGACTTGATCTGCTCTCTTGTTGCTATCTCAGATCCACTAGGAACTGCCTCCACGTGTGCCAAGCTTGGACTTGATTTATGTTTTCATTCTTGGATGAATCTACTTAAAGAGCTCAGGTACCTTTAAACTTTCATTTGAAAATAAAGATTCTCTTGAAGTGACTTTAGGAGAGTTCTGTAGATTTGCTGAGGGAGAGAGTTTAGATGGGGTAATTTGCTGAATTCTTCTTGAATGAATTTAAGAAAGGAGTGTACACTGAGAATTTGGAATGAATTTGAGATCGATGCTGCCAGCCTTGCTGTAGGATTTCCACTAGTGATTCTCCATAGAGGGAGAGGAAGATCAGAAAGAACAGATGTTGGCAAAAGGGATAAGGGCGCGGACTGCTAGGACAAACCTTGACATTCAGGAGAGAGATGTGGAGAGTTAAGAGCGTGAAGCTTGGTGGGAACTGACAGCCATGTCAATAAAGAAGGGCAGGATTAAGAAACCAGAAGGATTTCTGAGATTGCTGGTGCCGATGGAGCAGGAAAGACGAAAGCATGGCTGTGGTAGGATGTACTGAGGTCTGTATGTAGGGAGGGGGTCATGAATGCTTTTGGAAGTGAGCACTGGGGATGGAAGTTCAATAGAGATCAGAGGAATCAATGGTTGAGTTAAAAACAAGTGAAAACTCCTTGAGGCAAATAAAAGAGATGAACTAGAACCAGGGATTAAAAGAGGAAACATGCAGCTCACAGGTCAGCAGCTTGGAAGCCGAAATCTTGCAAGTAAGTGGGAAAAGCTGGGAGGGAGAGAGAGAGACAGGCTTTGAAATTCTATGATTCTATGAAATCAGAGTGGCAGGCTGATGGAGAGGTGAGTGATAGATGAGACAACGCAGAGGAGGAGAAAAGAGTTGGAACCAGAGCTGCTCAGAACAGGAAAGAGTAGGAGGAAGTAGAAGCAGCAGAAATAGGCCAGGAGAAGATTAGCGTCCCCTGTACCTGACCCAGAGGGTGGGTGGGAGAGCAGAAGTGCTTTCAGTGAGAGAAGGCTGCATGGATCCTCAGCTGTTAGGTCTGGCATAGCCGTTACGGACTGTTACATCCTGGCTGCCCTCCACCTCCACATCCTCAAGTGTTTCAGTCAAAGCAACAGTATAATCACAGATGACATGCATGGATAATACATTCTCACTTGCTTCTGCAGCTCCTTAAATATAGCTCAAGAAGGCATAGCAACCATTACTATATTTAAAATGAAATATTATTTATAAAAACAGATTACTTCCAAAGATGACAACACCTTGCAGCGAATCTGCGGAGTTTCTGTCATTCTAGCTACCTGTACATAAACACGAATTTCAGCTAAGCTTTGTTCATCCCAGAGGGTGCCAGCACCGTGTCATGCTGAGTGTGTTTTGCATGTGACATTATTTGAAGCTGCAGTCTTCCAGGGTTTGCCTTCTTCTGACTGCAGAAGCCACTTCATACCAGTAGCAGAGTCCTATGACCCACATGTTGGTCAGCACCACTCAGATCAATGGAGAAGAATCCAGCATA